CGTCGACATCATCCTCTTTGTCATCCGCCGCCTCCTCCTGCTTGGGTTCCACGGTCGCCACCGCCATCTCGCTGTCGCCGCCGTCGTCGTCGTCGTCGTCTCCTAGTCTCAATGTTCAAGGGAGCCATAAAATACTTTTTTGAATCCGGCGGAGCGCATTGCTCCTGTTCTCCTGTTCCTGGCCCTATTTTCCGGGTGGAAGGAGCGATTACCGCCGAGGGAGTCTCCATTGCAGGACCAACAAATGGCCCAGCTCACCGGGCCTCTTTAACTGCTCATTTCGGGGTGTTGAACCCAGGAATGGATTGTGTTGCCAAGGAGAGGAGTACTTCTTAGTTAAAGGTATTGCTCCTGTACATAATTATTATAATTAATCAAAGGAATAGCATTGAAATGTTAAATATTATTTATTCAAATACAAAGATGTGATCTGAAAACACTTCAAGTCATTCCCGATTTAGGTCACTTGCTTTCTGTTTTTCGTGGCTTTTTTTGTTTGCAGCTTGAAAGTGACTTTGTATTGCCATTTCTGCCTCACTCGCTCTGAAATTAACTACCCCGCGCTGATTATAGTGACTGCCTCGAGATCTCGTGTAGCTCTTGCGGTTCAGAACCAGAAACCGTTCAATTCGTGAGCCAAATTCCGAATTGAAATCCAAAACCAAAGCCAAACCCAGGTCCAATTCAATTGCCAAAGGAGCGGGAGTGGAGCAGTGCCCCTGTCTCTGGCCCGATTACCATTACTGAAAATTGAAGTAACATGTGTGGCGATGCGCAATTGCCAAGCGCCCCCCGGCGGCCACTCACTTTGGGAATCCCCCCCAATCCATGCTGGAACCACCCATCTCTATTGTTTCGTTTTCTATTTCACAGACGAGTGGATGTTGCCTCGGCGACTTTCACTGGCACACAGCCTTCAGCCTTGAGTCGCGGAGTGGGTGCCGGTGGTGGTGGTGGCGGTGGCCATCTGTGGTGGAGGAGTGGTGGCTGGGGTGGCCCAAATTCAGCTTCCAATTCGAAGCTGGCTGTGCGTGAGGCACAGAGCCCCATGTCTTTGTTTTGTCTCCTTGCGATGGCAAATATTTGGTGTACTCGCGCCGAGCAGGAAAAAGTATCTTGCAAGTGCACACAAAAAGTATCTTGTAGATGCACAGCCTCGAAGTTAAAGTCTTGGAATCAGAGAAAGAAAATATAATTTAGTTTAGTTTAAATAAAATTCTTTTAAAATATATTAAAGCAAAGAATAAAATTCTTTTCAGTTTGTCTGAAAACTTTTATTTTCAAATCTGGTTCCATTTATAATCTATACATATTTATTTTCTGTGTATAAACTGAAACTGTAAACTGTGCAAATAGTGCAAATAGCTGGGAGAAGACGTCAGGCAGGACGGGGACCAGTACATGTCTTGAGCGGAAACTGTGCCAAAAGACGTATGGCACAAAGCAGGATAAATTTGCCAAGTTTATCATAGCATACAGAGGGGGTGAGTGGAACTGGAACTGGGACGGGGTCGGGGGCGGGGGCGGGGGCGTGGGCGTGGCAGGACTTGGCTGTTGGCAAAACATGAGCCAAGGCATTGAGCATAAAATATTGTCGGCGATATTTTAACGCGCGCTCAAGCGAAATTGTCATATAAATAACACCCGGGGAAAGGGGTGCTTGCTCCCTCCCGGTTTAAGGTTTTAGGATATTGGCTGGCGTTACTTTGAAATATTAAACATTTGGCAAACACGAGCAAAGTTGAAGTTTATTGCCGACATTGATGGGGCTGCGAGTTGCGGAAGTTTCAGCGAAAAGGGAAATTGGGGCAGCCGAAACCTGGAAGCCATTATGGACCCGTCGATTCCGATGCTATTTTTGAGCGCCGCCAAACTTTTTGCCCGCAACAGATAAAAGTGGCAAAATGGGCACAACTGTACTTGCCAGCTCCCCGTGTCCCTTTCCCTTTATATCCATTTCCCATTTCACCATTTTCCCTTTTCCCCGGCTGCTCCCTTCCCCTGCCATTAAATCAGAAGCATGCATTTATTTAGCAATTTCCACCAACTGCAACAGCAAAGTTGGCGGCAAATGATTCTTTTCTTTTTATTTTATTTTTATTTTTTCTGCTGGCAAATTTTCAAAATGAAAAAATCGTATATATATGTATTATATCTAGACTAAACAGAGCAAGCGAAAGAGGGAGAGTGTTAAAAGAGGGTGGCTCTTTCAAGCAGAAGTCATAGTGCCGGGCCAAAGCTAAAGCAAAAGCAAAACCGAAATCCGGGGACCAAAAACCGACAAAAGACGGAACAGAAAACGGCACCAGACAGATACAATAAAAAGGGGTTTGTCCACCCGCCAAACCGCCTAACTGGCCCCATTCTCACATCCTTTTCTATGCTCCTTTTTTTGGGGCCATGGCCGAAAGGCAGCTCCTGTGACACACAACGAAAAAAGTATAATTTCTGAAAGAAAGATAGCGTGAAAATTAGTTTTAAAATTAAATTAGTATCCTGAAGAATGATAATTCTTTACCGAAGACTTTAATTATAGATTTTATCTTAGAATAATACAAATAGTTGTCCTGATTTTATTATATTTTTCCTCACTGCACAGTTCAACTCACAGTCAAACATTTCCAACAATGGTCGACAAAAGATATAGACGGTGGCAGCAGCAGGGGCGTATGACCGAGGGGGGTTCCAGAGGGGTGCAACTTGGACACGAACGGAACTAATAAATGAGTTTAGCAACAGTAGCAAACCAAATAAAAATGTCCTAAAAAGGCAACAAAGGCTGCCGAATAAAATCTCAGCGCCAGACCATAAAATATTAAGAGCATACTTTACCAATGGAGGGAGGATTGAACTGGGTGACAATTTAAATAGCTGCCCCTTTGGGTAGTTGACCTTTGCCTCTTTAATAGAGATTCCTTAAACATAAATAAAACTGATATTAAACACGAACTATAAGTCTACCAAAATACATACCTTAACAAAATGTCCCTATAAATTTGTACTTTTCAAATAAACCAACCAAAAAATCAGGCTGCAACTAAATAAATTCTAGAATTATAATTCTTTACTGCTCTTTTGGCTTCATTTAAAATGGTGTTAAATGGCCGGGCATAAAGATAATACAATAAAGCATAAAAAGGACCATAACCTACCTCCTCAATGTGCTGTTAGTCCTTAGTGTTTTTCTTCTTCCTTCAGAGAAAGAAATACCCTAACCTAACCTTACGAATGACTTCTGAACCTCTCGGCAGGTCCTGGCTGGCAGCTCATTGAAAACCAGGCCTGCGGTATCGCGTTGGCCATTTAACGGGATTTTAGCAATTTAAATATGATTTCCCTCAGCCCGTTCCACGTCCTTCGTCCTGACTTTTCATCCTTTGCTCATATGCATTCCAAGCAGCTGCGGTGCAAACAGAAAAAAAAGGGAAAACTTCACAGTTTTTGTTTTTATTCGCCCGAAAATGTTGTCGGTTGTTTGTTCTTCGAGGAGTCCTCGCTCCGCACTCAGGACTCCAGAGTCCTCTCAGTCTCAACAAGTTGCTTTATGGCATATGCATGATAATGATGAGGAGTCGAATGGAAACGGAGACCCTCTCCGCCACGAGTGCCATTTTTTGCGGCCTTGTTTCATATGATGGCCGCTCCCGGGTGTTTATGTGATATTTACATAATAAAAAGCGAGAGTTTCGGCGTGCGGCGGATGGGAGTTATATCCTTTTGGCTCCTCCTCGCTCTGACCCACATCTATGATTATTTTCATAGCGCCTTTGGGGCCCAGCAGCAGTGGCAGCCACGCCCACGCTGCGTAAAGTTGAAAAATATGAAAAAGGGGCGTCCATATACACAACATCCTTTGTCTCTCGTACCCACAAAAACCCCTTCTACCCGAGCGGAGAACAACAAAGGAAAAAGAATTTCGCTTTTGTTTTATTTATTTTATGGCCCGTTTGGGGAGCCCAGTGCCGATATCCTTTTTCTGGGGCCCATCCTTGAACTTCTCGCAGTTGCCGCGCTAAATTAAGTTTTGTTTTGCCAGTTGTCCCCAGACCATGCCCCCCCCCCCCATTCCCTCCCGCAGCTGATAAATGTCCCCAAAGCAAACAAAGTGCAAGTTGTTTTTTAAGTTTTTGGCCCCAACTATGCGGCATATCTTTGGCCTGGCCGGGGAATTCGCTGGGGGTGGCCCTAAATGGGGTTGGTTCTGGGGATTTCTACTCTGGGGTTTCGACTTTGGGGACCTGCCAGTTGACACAAAGGGTTGCCGGGGTTGGCCCCATGTCTGACATGTGAAAAGGCAGGGTGACTTTGAGGGACCTTTGTGGGGTTGGGACTTCAAAGGGAGGTTCTCCGATGGAAAGGTTTGCCTACTCTGTTTATTATTGTATTTAAAATTAAAGCTAGTTAGGTTACAGAGTGCTATTAAAGTTGTTTGGGTAGATGAAAAAATACATCTAAACTAATTCGAACAAAAACAAACTTAAAGAGACATTTCCGTTGAAATAGTTTAAACTTTCCGCTATTCGAAATGCTCCAGGCTAAGCTGCTGTCAATCCCTATTCCCATTCGATCGATAATGGCCATCGCCAAACCTAGGAATCCGCATCCGAATCCGGCTAACTGCCTGGCAACCATTAGGCAGGCAACAGACTGTGTCCGTCTGTCGGGTAAAACTGTTGTAGTGAGACCAAGGCAGCGACTTCCACTCGCTCCTGGCTGCTAATTCCGCTCCTAATGTCCAGGCCGTGGCCATTTAAATTGTCTTCATTTGTTTACTGGCCGACAGTCGGACAGATGGAGGAGTAAATGCAGCCAACTCCCGGGGCGGGTGGGGCTGTAATCCGCAAAACTACCGATTAACTCCCGACGGGGGCGATGGGGGCTGCGATTGGGATTGCAGCTGCCAAATCCAATGAAAATCCGAGAGTCGAGTCGGAGCAATTTGGAGCTCTAATGGAAAATCAATTTAAAGCGTTCTCCACCCTCTTTTCCTCTCCTTGCAGGCGAATGCCGGAGTCTGGACCTGAAAGCCATTGGCGAACTTGGCCAGAACGTAGTTAACCGAAAAAGGAGAGCAGAAACTCGAAACTAGCAAGCAAAGAGAGAACATAAAGGAGGCCAGAAGCAGCGGCCAATTACCATGTCGCTGGCCCATCATCTCGGCCTCTTCCTGGGCCTGTGCCTCGTCCTCCTGGCCAGGCTGCAGATGGCCCGCGGACTGGCCAACTGCCCGACTGGCTGCGAGTGCGACGATGACACCCTGATGGTGAACTGCGGCGAGGGCACCCTGGACGTCCTGCCCATCGCCCTGAACCCCGCCATTCAGCGACTGGTGATTAAGAACAACAAGCTGAAGACCATAGACTCCTCGATGCAGTTCTACGCGCAGCTCACCTTTTTGGACCTGTCCTTCAACGACATGGTCTCCATCCCCGAGCGCTCCTTCGCCTACCACGCTAAGCTGCAGGAGCTGCATCTGGACCACAACAAGATTGGCCAGGTGTCGAACCGCACCTTCCAGGGCCTCTCCACCATCAGCGTGCTCAATCTGCGGGGCAACCTCATCGCCGAGCTAGAGTACCGCACCTTCTCGCCAATGGGAAAGCTGGCGGAGCTGAATCTCGGCCAGAATCGCATCAGCCACATCGATCCTCACGCCCTTGATGGGCTGGTCAACCTGCGGGTTCTCTATCTGGACGACAACACCCTGACCACGGTGCCGGACGAGCTGACCTTCCAGGCGCTGCCCTCGCTGGCAGAGCTCTACCTGGGCACCAACTCCTTCATGACCATTCCGAGCGGAGCCTTCCAGGACCTCAAGGGGCTGACCCTCCTGGATCTGCGCGGAGCTGGGCTGCACAACATCTCAGAGGATGCACTCAAGGGTCTGGAGGCCCTGCGCTCCATGGATCTGTCGGATAACCGCCTCGTGACGATACCAACGGCCGCCTTCCAGAAACTGGGACGCCTAGAGGAGCTGAACATTGGACAGAACGACTTTGAGATGATCTCCTCGGGCGCCTTTGCCGGCTTGCGGGAGCTGCGTCACTTGGAGCTGACCGGGGCCCAGCGATTAAGGCGCGTGGAGAGCGGCGCTTTCACCGGAAACAGCAACCTGGAGCACCTGAACCTGTCCAGCAATAAGCAGCTGAGCGAGCTGCCCGCCACCGCCTTGGGTGGACTGCCCCACCTCAGCACGGTGGTGCTGAAGGCCAACCAGCTGAGCACCCTGGACGAGGGCCTGGTGCCCTGGGCCGACCTCCAGACGCTGGACCTCTCGGAGAACCCCTTTGTCTGTGACTGCCGGCTGCTGTGGCTGCGCCACCTTCTGCTCAGCCGGAACTCGAGTGGCCAGTACGCCCCGGTGATGTGCGCTTATCCCTCTGCCCTGCGGGATCTGCCCCTGGCCCAGCTGGCGGAGCCTCTGCTGGGCTGTGCCCACGGAGCGGCCAGTAAGCAGGCGATTATCGGCATCCTGGTGGTGGTTTGCGCCGCCCTGATCACCACCCTGGCCCTGCTGCTCTACACCTGCCGTCGCCGCATCCGGGAGCTGCTGAAGGGACACTCGGCGCTGGGCAGGAAGGAGCGCGAGTACCAGAAGACCTTCTCCGATGAGGAGTACATGGCCAGACCGCCGCCCGGCTGTGGAGGAGTGCACCCGGCTGCCGGAGGCTATCCCTACATGGCGGGGCACGGCGGCAGCGGAAGGCCGATTCCGGTCACCGAGCTATAGCTAGAAGCACCACCCCCGCCTCAGCTGCGGGGCCGGGGTGGCGCTAGCACCGCCAGCGGGGCGGTGCAGCAGCTGCAGGTGCCCAGCGCCGTTGACCAGGCCTCCAACTCCTTCGCCCAGCTCAGCCACATCCACTACATGACCAACAACGGCGGCCAATCCTCAAAGTTGCATCACTCGCAGCAGGACATGCGCCTGCTGGCCTGCAATGGCGGCAAGTCCTTCAATGCCACCTCACTGCCGCGACACCGCCCGCCACCGGCGCAGGTGCAAGTCCAGGTCCAGGAGAGCACTCTGTCCCACTACAGCCAGCCGCTGGCCAACGGGATCCGGCTGACCCAGGACCACTTCAACCACAACCAGCACCCGACTGCTCCGAACCAGAGCCACCACTACGGAGGCGTCTATGCCAAGCCCTGCGACGCGATGGCCGAGCCGGGCTACATCCACAACAACTCGCACTACTCCCTGCCGCTGGACCACGATCTGCCCCCCAGTCCCACACCCACACCGCCGCCGCCGGCCCTGCCGCTGAGGAACGGCGTGGGCATGGCCCTCATCCATGGCAACACCACCGGACGCAGATCCTTCAACAACAACAACAACGTGGCCACCTTGTCGAACAACAACCACCATGGCGGAGTGACAGTGGGAGTGGGTCTGGGCGTGGGCAACAACAACGGCAGCCTGCGGCGCTACCACTGATATCCGGCCAAGACGTGCGGCACCTTGGGCCGCACCATCATCAAGACCAGGCCGGATCCGGACATCGAGCTGCATTACTTCTACAAGGGCTGAGGTGGTGGAAATTCCAGGAGGATCGCCTCTAATCTTATTTAATCAGGGCTATACATTAATCACGAAACAGTGGGTCAAGAGTGCATCTCTGCCGCGGGTTCCAGACAAAGTCCTGAATATTCTTCTTCTAGTTGTGTACTCCTGCGTTACGTGTATTCAGGCGAGAGCATTCTGTATAAATTAGGCTTTAGTTCGAGAGGTTGTAGAGGGTGGGCAAGGAGTCTGCGCTGAGGTGTATATATTTAAGTGGAGGACTTGCGCACAATTTTGGCAGGCACTGTGAGTAGTCACTCCTCGGCCGCCACTATTCATTTGCATCCAGTGATCTTACTATTAAGTTCTGCTTAAAATTAAAATCCTTCAATTTATGTACATAATTAGAAGCTTTTTTTAAAAATGCGACAAGAAAAATCAAGACAATTTCAATGGAAAAACAAAAACAACAAAAAAATTAAATTAAAATCAAGTAACAAGGTAATTTACTTTATAAAATAACAAATTAGCCACGCGCTTAAGCACCAGTCATTAAAACTATGTATGTATTTAGCCTAAAACTATCGACAAACCTATATTCCAAAAATAAATACAAAAACAAGCAAAATGAAAATAAATTATATACGCAAAACCTAAAATAGAACACGGCCGATTTTTATAGTTAATAGACTCAGTAAAGAATAAACTACTCATCGGAATAATAAACAAGCAAGTTGTTTACACAGTGTAAAAGGAAAATAGCAAAAACTATGGAAAACTCCGCAATATTCATGCGGCATCCCAGCCGCATTCACAAATATGAATAAGCAATTTATGCAGCAGAAATAAACAAATGCAAAATACAAAGTAAATCTATATATACGAATTATACGTGTAAATAAAAGAAAATAACTATGCTCGAAAACAAAACCTTACCAACATTATGTTTTTTATTTATTTTTATTTATTTTCCAGCCTGAGCTGCTTTAATTTTCCCTTTTTTCACCATTGATCGATTGTACATATTTAACAATTTAATGGAACAAATTGCAAAACCAATACAAGGGAGTTAAAAGTAACCTACAAATAGAAGAAACATTGATTACCATATACATGTAATTGAAAACTTATTCAAACGCAATTTTCATATTCATATTTCATATACTTCATAACGAAGCAGATCAGATCCCTCATCTAGCCATACGACGACGACAACTATGAATAATTAAATCAATTTGAAAAATACAATTTAAGCAAATTACAAGGGAAAGCGTAGTCAAAAAAAAACACAAGCCAAGTGGCACAAAGTATATTAACGAGACATAGAACGTAGCCGAGTCAAACCAAATTTGTGGATCAGCATCTAACCGTATCATTAAGCGCAAGAAGTGCAACACGAAATACAAGGAACTCCCTCAATGTAACCGATAATCGCAGGTGCGAGGCAGAAAATTGAAAATTCAACAGTGTTCAAGAACTAGAAGATAAAATCAAATAAAGAACAAACTTAACAATAAATAAATAGAGTGTTCTCTTTTTGAGTGGGTGTAAGAATGTGTCAGAATTATTTTCGGTTGAATTTTCTATTTTTGAGTGAGTATTTCGCCGATCTGTATAACATGGGTAGCGTGGCCGAGCGGTCTAAGGCGCTGGTTTAAGGCACCAGTCTCCTCGGAGGCGTGGGTTCGAATCCCACCGCTGCCAAGTGGTTTTATTTTTTTATTTTTCTTTATATTCTTTTTTTTAACACCTTGTTCAGCAATCTGCCAACTATTTGGAAAACTAGTTTCGAGCTACTGTTTGTCGGCGTCAAATGCAAATACCTAGAAACTCTTTTCCCTGCCAGTTTAGTTAATGCGCCAGCGCCAAGCTCCAGAGTTGGAACTGCTGCTGCTGGCACTCATCTGCATAATTTAATTACATTTAACAAAAACAAAAACACACGCACACACTCAGGACGTGCTGCGTTTTGCGCTAATAAGCGACAGGGTCACCCTGGACCCCCTTCAACGACCCCCCGCTGCTGCCCGCCATGTAAGTTGTCAAGCGATGCGATGCGTTGCATTGCTCCAAACAAAAATCTCAAGTTAGGGAGCTGTTGAAAATAGCATCGTGACACGAGTTATGATACAGGTAAAAATTATAAAGGTTTTCTGGAATTTACAGAATATATATAAATAAAATATTGAATATTAAACTTATAGTATATTTTCTAAATAGATTTTAGTTTATATTTACTGAACTCGATGCAATTTTCAAGATATTAGTTGCTTTAAGCACACATTTTAAGAATAAAATAAAGTTTGTTGCCAAGGTTTTTAATTATTAAAATATATTTATCATAGGATATATTTTTATAAACATTTTATTTCCTTTCTCCTTGTCTGCGATATGTTGCAACTTCTCTACAACATCTAGCTTCCTGCACGCTCCCATCGCCAGTTGTGCCAGCGGGAGAAACAGAGTTCGTTCTGGCATAAACAGTTACACATTTGCATGCTGCTCCCCCCTCTTCCAGCTGCAGCTCCACCGCCGCCCCTGGGGGATGCCTTCAGCTGGGCTCGTTGTTGCTGCTGCTTGTGCATATGCGACATTAGCGCACGCAAACAACGTACACACAATTAGAAGAATTAACAGTAGTTAAGGCAGCAACAACACGCTCAACTTGTTGGCAAGATGTGCAGCGAGGTGCAAAGAGGGGGTGGCAGCAGGGGGGGATACAGACTTATCCCCCACTGCAGCCGGCGGCTGTTGTTGCTGCTCCTGCTGCTGCTGCCGGTACTTGTAATTTAGTTTCGCAACGAGTTCCGCTGCATGTCCGCCGCTGCTGCAGCCGCAACTTATTGGCCACAACATGCCAACTTATTAGGCAAAAGCGCAAAAGTTATAAATTGTTTTACAAGGCGCACATTGTTGCGGCCGTAAATATGTGGATACCACCGAGCCAAGGACAACAGGAAGCCAGCAAAGTTGCCAAGGATGTGTGCGGTTATCGCTTTAAAATTAAGGTGTATCCAGAGTCAAAGGGGTTGGCCAGCAATTACTTAATCGATGAAGAAAAAGGCAAGGCTACCTGGGAAAAGGAAATTTAGTTCTCAATATGATTTGAATTTTGAAAATGGTATTAGGACACTACTTTGTTGCCTTTGATCGAAGGGTTTATATGGTAGAAAAGGGGATATAACTTACTTTGTATATTATTTCTATATTATAAATACCTATTCATTTTCCTGTTTATTTTGCTTAATCATAACCGCCGCATAAAGCAACATTGTAGTGTCAGAAAAGCAAAGTTAACATATTTGCATACTCCTTTTGGATACCTATTTTATCCTGGAAATTATATTATGAGAATATATTGTTGCTTCATTAATTGACGCACGGACACTCTGGTTTCCTTTCCTTTTTTTCCTTCACATAAAGCAACAATGTAAGCACAAAGTTATAGTAACTTGATCTAGAATCAAGATAAAATATTTATATTTTTCCAACAGGTATATAGTAAATTACCCAAGAATATTTCCAGCAAATGCTTAACAAAGAAACATTGTTGCACATTTAATTAAAACCACTTCCTCCTTTTCATCCTCCCATAACAAATGCACTCGGCTGAGAAAAATTACAAAATATTTTTAATTGCCAGTCGTAAATTTATGCCACCGAAATTGTTTTCAAAAACAAAGGAGTCAGACCCTCCCGTTTTCTTCTAGCTCAGGCTGGGAGGGAACCTTCGCCCCCAAAAACACTTTGTCTGCTGTGCTAATTTATATGTTAATTTTTTTCATATTTCCATGCACAGAGTGAATATTATTTTTGTGCTATTTCATATTTCGTTGATGCGGTCGCTTTATTTTGAATACAAAAACAGGAAAGGATGCCGAAAGCCCCCGAAAAACAACGGCGCAGGCAACATAATGCCATCGTCTATTCAAAAAGGCGTTTCGGTTTGGCTCTTCCTCTTTCTGGGTTTTATTTTGCATGAAATTTTCGCTAAACTCGCACAATAACAAGCCGGCGAGGGGATTGGGGTTTTTGGGGTTGGTCAGGCTCATAGGCAGCTTTTTAATTTTCAGCATGAATTAGAATAATAGTCAACGGATATTACACAATGGCAGCCCGGCAGCCCAGCAGCCCTGGGGGCGGGGCGTTGGGGATTTCCGGTCAGCAAGGGTTCGGTTTTGGCCTTGGGGCTTAGGGCTGCTGCCGGCCATTAAGGGAATAGTTGATGGAGGAATCTTTAATGCGAAACTAACTAAGCTGGCCGTCCAGGGATTAACCAAAGAGTTGCCGAAAAATAATTAATGGCCGCTCCTAAGCTGGAAATTGGAAATGGCTGCCCTTAATGATAACTTTACCCTACGAAATATACATATTTTTCGCATTTCCACAGCACTTAACATCTTCTTTTGAATGCCTCCGATTTCTTTATTTCCTCTGTGACAAATACAAATTCGCAAAGCATTCAAAAAAATACGAAAAACAAGTCAACCATTTCTGGGAAACAAGCAAACAAAAACAGCAAAAACAAGGACCCAAAAAGTGCTGACACCTTTGAAAAATTTTCACGCTAATAAAACACAAAACATGCCAGAGCAATGTGAAGAGCGTGAAAAGCGCGGAGGAGTCCGCAGCTCCAGCGACGGATGGCGATAAAGTCAGGGCAGGTCCAAGAGGGCTCCGCTCTACCCAAGAAAAGGGAGGAGCCGGTCCGGAAAACCCAACAAAAGGAGCAGCAGCCCCAAGCAACCGCAAGGCGGGCGAAAGGCGAGAAAATGCGGAAAACCCAGAGTGAGAGACAGAGAGAGAGGGTCCCTGGCACAGGACCTGTTTTGTATTTGTCCCAAAAAATACGAAAAAGAAGCGAGGAAAATTTGTTTTAATGCCGCGCGCTCTTTTTACGCTTTTCTTTATAACTTCTTTTCAGCTTTTTTGTCATGTTACAATTCTGCAGCGACAGCAGTAAAAAATAATGCCGCCGCCCCGCGGCAACCGCAACTTGTGCAACATCATAAACCCATTTGCGTTTTTAATTAGTAACATCGCAACTTGGCCCAGTGAAGGGCTGAGGGCGAAAAGTAAATGACCATGCACAAAATGTTGCACCGAGCCAACAACTGAAACAGATAAGTCCCGGACTCCGGCTCCACTCCAGCGACTCCACCCGAAAACTGAAAACAGAAAAACTGGAGCAAATAAGGTAAAAATTTTTAATTGCCGCAGAAGCACAAATTATTAAGTTGCGGTTTTGCCAGTGTTTCGAGTAGTCAGCGGACCCAGCTAGCCGGGGAGCAGCCGGTGGCCATCGCGGCCAGTTCATCCTCATCGCCGTCATAAAGAGTCCGCGAACAAAGTTGAAAAAGCGCAGCTCAAGTGGCGCAGCCTCCCGTCAGGAATGGTTTCGGTTTCGGACCCGCTGATGGTCTCCGGTCCTTCAGTTTCCTCTTTTTTTTCTGTTTTCAGTTAACTGGAAAATGGGGCAATGACCGGGGGTCACTGCGAGTGACCAGAGAAGAGGACTGCGTAGTCAGGTAGGTGCCGGCAAGTGTCCTTCAAGTGGAAGGGATAATCCCCAGGAACATGGAATGCTAATTAAGTTTAAAGCACAGATGCTTTAGTATAGGAATTTAATAAAACTATTAGCTTGTCAAAATTTGTTCAATAAATTTACTATTTCTCTTATAAATGTATTTAAAAATGGCATGCAATTTTGTTTTAAAAGGTTTAATATTAAGTTTCAAGAGGTTTTTGTGAAAATTTGACTTTAAAGCCATAGAGAAAGGTCCCCTAAAAGCTCATTCCTTTCTGCTCAGCTAGTTAAATCCACAAGTTTATGGCGCATCGAGCACTAAACGCTTTCCCAAGTTTATGTGTGCGCTGTCCCATGTGCTCGGGTCAGTCATATTTTATTTCCGAGTTTTCTTTGCAGTCCT